CGAGCTTTGGGACATTCAGGGGCCAGCACCCACCTGCTTGAGGGCCCCCCTGGGGTGTGACGAGAACGGGCAGGGGACACTCCAGCTGACCCACCCACCATCCCTTTTTGGAGTCCTTCATTCCGGCCGACAGCCCAGCCCCTTCCGGCTCACAGTCAGAAATAGCTGTGACAAAAGTCCCTCCCATCCCAGAAAGTGGCTTTTTAAAAAAAATGTTTAAAGCAGACACACAAAAAGATGGAAAGAACATAACAAAGCCTCGACTGCAGGAAGATGATGCGGGCATCACGTCGAGGTGGGGAGGCCAGCTCTGCACAGCAGATGGAAGGTCTGCCCAGTTCGGCACAGACAGACAGCCCCCTCTGGGCCTTGGTTTCCCCACCTTTAAAATGAAAGCACTCAGCTGAATCAGCAGTTTCTTTCTTTTCAAAAACTGCAGAACACTTTTTAAAATGGAATCTTTTTTGGACAATCTGGGAGTCAGAGAAGCATGGAGTTACGGTGGGCAACATGGGTTAAATCTCAGGTGCTCAGCCTCCCACTGTCCCCGAAGTCTCCCAAGGCACCCTGCTATGGACTCCAGGGCTCTAAAAAGCCCACTTGAAAACCACCAGGCTGGATGATCACAGTGGTCTCTCCAGGCTCCCAAACCACCCTCCAATCACCCCAGGCACCAGGAAAAAAGAAACCTAGCCTCCAGGCTGACTTCAACTGGGGGGCGCATACACTCAGCCCCTCGCACGGGAGGGAACAAGGCCAGCCAGTTGCAAATCACACTGGGCCTGAGGGGGCCAGGATGGCTGGACAGGCTTCTGGACAGGGGCACCAGGCCCCCAAAAGAGTCGCCCTGTCTGACAGGCAGCTAGGCCAGCACTACCATGCCGGGCAACTTCCTCTACCAGCCCAGGGCAACTTCCTCTACCAGCCCAGAGCAACTTTGCAGCAGCTGCCAGGCTGGAGGGACCTTTTTCTTGACAACCTGAAAGCTTTCCCGCGTCCTTCCTTGGAGCCAATGAAGAGAGGGGAAACGGTTGAACCAGTTAAGCTGGGGGATGGGATGACCAGTACTGCCCATGCCTGGAGCCTGGACCCTAGTCATCTGGGGCAGAGACAAGAGAGGGAAGGGGAAGCCCAGAACAGAGAAAGGCTTCAGAGAACACACTGTGGTCTCCAGACACAGAAAGATCAGCCACGACGCGGGCCTCCTGGAGTCACGGACCTCAAGTAGAGAGCTGAGAGAGCTCACCTACAGGAACTCCTGCATGTAAAGGTGGAGGATCTGAGGGCCAGAGAGGGCAGCGGTTGGCCAGAGGTCACACAGCACCTAGTGACAGAGCTGGACCTAAAGTCCAGGTCTCCTGGATGCCAACTCAGGGAACTCTCCACTGTTGAGTTCAGATAAACTCAGTGGGAATCTCCAGGGAAAAGCCCCCAGCTTGCAAAGTCAGAACAGGATATTTTAGTGGCCCTGGGTGGTGACAGAGTAGAGATGTTTGTTTTGGTTTCCAAATCAACGCTTGACAACCTTGTCCTCATTGTGGCTTCAGCGACCACATTTCCCACGTGGTAAAGACCTGGTTGGGCCAAGGGAAAACCAAAGCAGTGGTGACTGGGGCCAGGGCCCAGGCACCCCAGGCCAGGGTCTCTGGTTTGGGTTGGTGTTTCCAAATCACGGTTCGTGGACCACTGATGGCACATGAGATGATGCTAGGTGGTATACGGTTGACGTTTTAAATTTAAAATATATTGAATGCCTGGGTGGATTCATAAACAAAATATGGGCTACACTACAGAGGAATATTTTTTGCTATAAAAAGGAACAGCCTACGAATACATGCTACAACATGGATGAACTTCAAAAAAACATTCTCTAACTGAAAAAAGCCAAACACAAAGACTACAGAGTGTATGATTCTATTTCTATGAAATGTCCGGAAAAGGCCAATTTCTAGAAAGACAGCAGGTCCGTGATTACCTGGGCTGGTCTTGGAATGGGAATTTTCTGTAAATGGACATGAAGGATCTTTTTGGGGGGTGATGCAATGCTCTAAAACGGAATTGTGGTAATGACTGCACAACTCTGTGAATTTGACTTGTACACTTAAAATGGGCAGCTTTTGTGATGTGTAAGTTGTACCTCAATGAAGTTATTAAAATATTTTATGTAAGCAATAGCACAGGTGGTAGTACGTGGACGTGGCCAGAAACCACGAAGGTGGAACTCAACAAGCCTCCGGCTTGAAGATCGCTGAGTTTCACATCCCAAGTTGTCCTTTGGGGAAGCAAGTGGGGGTCTCTGGAGCTGCAGGTTCCTCTAGGTGGACCAGGGGAAACCCTGGAACCTTTTCCTCCTGGGTTAGGCTCCTTCTGGGCATCACTGCTTGGAGTTCTGTGATAGACATCCTGGGATGATTTAAAACCCTTTGTGGCCACAGCAGTACAGGCAGACACCTGGGTCTCATCCCTTAGATGGTGACTTCTCTTATGGCCAGGGGATCAGAAGCGGGCTGGGAGCTCAAACTCAGATTTATATATTGCCAAGGCTGGGAAGACCCTTTGAGATCATCTAGCCCAGTGGTTTTTCAAGTTTTTAAAAAATGTTTATCAAATGTCTGCCCTCCTTCCCAAAGAAAATTCTTAGGAGGTACCCAAAACATACTATTAACAAGTTACGGTGTTAGTGGAACCCAATGAGTTAATATTAAGAACTTAAAGGTGAGTGAGCACATTTTTATCACTGTATTAATGTCTTAATGTTATTTTAAATGATCATTTTTATTAGATATTCAAGGAACCCCTAAAGCATCTCTAAGAAAGCCTGGGGTTTCAAGCACTACAATTCTAGCCCACCTACCTCACTTCGCAGATGGGGAAACTGAGGCTCCAGGAAAGGAGTATACTTGCTTTGGAAAAACTCAACATAAGTCTTGAGTCAACTTCAGAGACAACGTGGAAGAAGAGGTGTGCGCGCATCGCAGAAGGGCGGGAAGAGAGACGCCCGCACTCCACCTGTCTCAGCAGCACCGCCTCATTCCAGGCCAGTACCAGAAGCTGACATCACACCCCACGCCCTGGGTGCAACTTGAATAGAGCATTGCTCAATGCCAACCCATCTCCCTCCAAGACTGGGCACGGTTTTCCCATCCCCTTAGTAGCCAGGTCCAAAAAAGCATACACACAATAAAACAAACACAACACAAGCCTGAGGCATGACGACACGATCAACAGTGGCAGACAGGAGGGCCCGGCCCAGCCCTCCCCAGTTTCACCATCGAGGGCAAGTGCCTGTTTCCCTAGCCTGCCCCAGTGACACTGACCATGAGGGGCGGAGAGGTGGCCTCTATGTGGCAATGGCCCACCAGGTGGGCCATTCTCAAGTCCTCCAGAGAAAGAGGTAACGCAGGAGAGAGGGCACCAGGTGGGCCATTCTCAAGTACCTCCAGAGAAAGAGGTAACTCAGGAGAGAAGCCCATCTCCCAGTGGAGTGTAAGACCTACCCCCAGGAAGCGAGGCGCTGCATGAGAGAGCTTGAGGACTCTCAGCGTTTCTGCTCCCCGCTAGCTTGACAAAGTGCCTATCATCTTTAATAACATGAGCTTGATTACTTTATACCTTCCGAAGAGCATCACCGTCCTGCTCTCCCCTCGAGCAACTGTGGGCAGATTTTATTATTCCCATTTCTCGGATGAGCAAACAGGATTTCAAGTGGTTTGATAATCTCACCAGCCGGTATAAGGCTGGCATTTGAATCCTACCCAGTTGCTAGCCTGTCCAACGGGAGAATAAGGAAGGAGACCTATGCCCAGCTCCCTGGGCAGACCTTTAGAGATGGAAGGAAGGGCCCTTCTCAGTACATCCTCCAAGCCCTGGAGTTCAGAGCCAATAACTCCGAGTGGAAGGCTGCCTGTGCCTGGAACAGCGACTGCCAGGGCCAGAGGGCCCCTCCCCCAGCCAGGTCTGAGATGCCAAAGACAGACCCCTCTACCCTTACGGGAAGAGGAGGAGGATAGGAGACCCCTCTCCTCTCATCAGAAAGCCAAGCAGACAGTATTGTTGGCCAGACTGCAGGCAGGAAGCAATGACAGTTTCCCAGCTGGGGAATCTGAGCTGGGCAGGAATGCACTGGCCAGTCCTACAGAGTCTGGACCCCAGTTCTAGCCAGAGATGGTGGTCTCAGTCCATTCAATGTCCAGTCTCCAATCCAACATTATCTTCTCCTGGGGGCTTTTAAGGCTGAGTTTGTTAGGGCTCAATAAACCATGAAACTCAGGGAATGGGGAGAAGAGGGATGAAAGGAGGCATTTTATAAAAGCTTGTGAGCAGTCTGCTATAGTTGTGGTTATCCAACCCAGCAAGCTGGACGTTACAGAGCTGGAGCAAGACGGCAGACACTGGCCCCAGGGGGCAGGGGCAGATCCATCCATTTTCAAACACATGATCTCATTTAATTCAAGAAATAAAAAGGCAGTGGGTTGGTTAGAGTTTTTCTTTTCATCTGTTGAGGGAGGGAAGCCTACTTCCTACTTCCTTGGGAAAAATACCTATGCTAGGAGACGGACTAGCCAGGAGTGGTTAAAATCTCTGGTTGAAATCCTGGTTTCACAACTCCTTCGCCAAGCCACCTTAGGCAAGTCACTTAGCATTTCTGCACCTCGGTTTCCTCATCTATAAGATGAGGATAAGTCCGCCTTACACGCTGTATTGTGCTGAGAATTAAATGAGATCACATAAAACACAGATAGTTATTATGTCACCTAGAAAACAATGTGCCTAACCAGTGACGGCATCGAGGTGGCCCCCACGGTAGCCAGCGCCCACCCCCATCCTGGGATCTAGATAATTGGGCCTTCCTGGCATGTGTAAGGCACTCTGCAAACACAGCTTCCAGCCCACCTGCCAGGACCAGCTGCCCGCCCGGCCCCCGTCCCGCACACGCATTCCGCGGCAGCCTGGACCTGGGCGCCCCCTCCCAGGGTGGCGGGGGAGGGGCGGCCACTCACCTCCGCTTGTACTCGTCGCGCTCGCGCTTCACCTTGGCCAGCACGTTGTAGAGCGCGCGGATCTCCGGCGTGATGGTGTCGATCTGCACGCCCACGCCGTCGGGGTGCACCCACGACACGCCGGGGCCCTGCACGGTCTCCACGCCGCCGCCGCCCGTGCGCCGCACCTGCGTGTAGCTCCAGATGGTCCCGGGCAGGCGGCCGTAGTGCTGCGGGTGCGAGCCGCCGCCGGGGGGCAGGCCGCCCAGGGCCACGGCATTGGCGTTGACGCCGGCCGCCGCGCCGCTGCCGAGGCCGTGCCCGCCGCCTGGCGCTGGGGGCCGCAGCAGCTCGGGCCCGGTCTGCACGGCCTGCTCGCGGGAGAAGGTCTTGTAGCGCAGCAGCCGCTCGCGCTCGCTCTGCTGCTGCTCCAGCTGCTTCTCCAGCAGCCGGTTGCGCCGCTCCAGCTCGTGCACCTTGGCCAGGAAGCAGCGGAAGCGCACGTTGAGCCCCTTCAGGAGGTGGATGTTGGAGCCCAGGTCATCCCGCAGCGCCGCCGTCACCGGCGACGGACCCGGCCCGGCCCCGCCGCCGCCGCCGCCCCCGCCAGGGCAGCCCCCGCCGCCGCCGCCCGGCGGGCAGCCGAAGGCCAAGGCCATCTCCCCGAACAGCAGCGAGTTCACCATGCGCCGGCTGCGCGGCTCAGGGCCCCGGGCCCGCGGCTCCAGGTGCGGCTCCAGCTCCGGGCAGGGCTCCCGGCGCGGCCGGGCCAGGGTGGGCGCGGGCTCCAGCGCGGCCGGCCGGGCGGTTCCAGATGCGCGCCAGATGCGGCCTCCGCAGCGACGGCGGGACGGATGGCCCCGGATGCGGGCGCCGAGGCGAGAGAGGGCACTCGGGCGCTCCTCTGGATGCGGTAGAGGCCGCGGTATCTGCGCGGGGCCAGAAGGGTCGCGGGTCGCACCGCCCGGGCTGTCAGAGACGCTGTGGAGGGGCCGCGGCAGCCGCACGCAGAGGACTCTCGGCCGGCACTGCCCACTCTGCGGCGGGCCCCGCCCACTGCAGACACTGGCCCCGCCCTCACCGCGGCCCCGCCCACCCCTCCTCCCTCTGCGGCGTTCCCCGAGCCAGAGGCTCCGCCCCACGAGGCCCGCAGAGCCGGGCCCCACCCACAGACCCTTGGCTCCGCCCACCGCCGGGTTCTCCCGCTTTCGCCGCAGCGTCGACTCCGCCCAGCTCCCCGGCGGGGCCACGCCCTCTCCTGCGTCTGGTCCTGCCTCCCCGCCGGGTGCCGATTCTCTGCTGGGGGACCCGGACCGCAGAGCTGCACCAGGGACCGAGTTAGCTGGAACCGCCGCAGAGCCAGCCGGGCCTCTTAAAGGGGCCAGCAGCCTCGGCAACGTTCGCTTTCCGCTTTTTAGGGCGCTCCTCTCCCTCGTCGCCTGCCGAGAGGGCTCCGTTTCTCTGTCCTCTCCGCCCCGAATGCCCCTGGCCCCAAATTCCTTCGGATGTGGGCGACCGCGGCTGGAAGGGCTGGGGGAATCACAGTATCCGAAGGTGCAGCGGCACCCCACCCCCACTCCAGCCTGGGGAGGCCCAGATCCACCTTACGGGGATAAGGCGGCGCCTAGGCCGGCACGTCCTCCACGCTGCGGACCCAGGGGTGGGCTCCTCGGACGCTAGCTGCCGGCCTCGTCCTCCCGAGATCAACCCGCGCACCGCCAAGCCCGCCAGTTCCCCCGCCACTGAGGCGCCGAGCAGCATGGGGGCTGGGGAGGCTGAGCAAGACCCTCCCGGGATGACACCCACAAACTCGGCCTGGGCCTGGCCTCCGCCGAGCTGCTGAGCACCTCCCCACCACCCACACCCACACGCTGAGATGAAGCTGACCCCGAGAGCTGGGAATTCATTTCACAGACATGGGGCTTAGCGGGCAGCCTGGGGCAGACCAAGGCAACCCGAGGACCCATTCATTCATTCATTCATTCATTCAAATGTTTTCACACCTACCACGTTAAAGGCCAAGTTCTCCAGTCTCTGGTGTCTCCTGAATCATGTTGCAAACATCAGTATATGTCAGGCACCATACTTATTTATTATCCCCATTTTACAGAGAAGGTCACTGAGACGTTAAGTAGCCGCAATGGTCCAAAGTGCATACTCTAACCGGCCTTCCACAAAGCTGGCCTCGTGTCCATTCCCGCATTTGGTCCTCACCGCAAACCTCAGAGGGGAGGTGACCCCCACCTGTGAACGCCTGTGGCTTGTATTGTATGCACTTAACCAGATATGTGGCATGTTTCAGATTCTTCCGACTGAATTTTTTTAATTGCAATTTAATTTTTGTCTTATTAACTTTTGTGTTTGTTTTGTCTCTTTGTATGTAAGCTTGAGGACAGGCACACTGTCTTACATGGACAATGCCTTGGTGTTGTTGGTGACAAAGGAGACACGGGCTTGCCCTGGAGTGATGTGGCTATGATGTTAGTCTGCTGTGTTTTTGATTTAGCCATAAAAGCAAACCCTCCGCATAGTTCCTTCCCTCAACCGCAGTTCCTTGCTTCCTGCCAACACGGACTCACCTTAAACACCCAGCTCTGAAACTCACCCATCTAGAAACCTTTCTCTGCTTAACCCAACCCAATCTGGACACTGCCCTTTACTCCTCATTCTCTCATCTCTTGAGGATGTTCTTGTTTATCTAACCTAAAGAATCAAAACCCCTTTGCCTTGAAGCAGAGGTTCATGGACCCCCAAGAAGACTGAGGATAGAATTCTGGGGAATTCATGACACGGGGGTGGACAAAAGTTTTATCTTATCCTCACTAATCTCTAAATGGTTTTTTGTTTGTTTGTTCGGGACAGAGTTTCGCTCTTGTTGCCCAGGCTAGAGAGCAATGGTGTGATCTCGGCTCATCACAACCTCCACCTCGGGGGTTCAAGCGATTCTCCTGCCTCAGCCTCACAAGTAGCTGGAATTACAGGCATGCACCACCATGCCTGGCTAATTTTTTGTATTTTTAGTAGAGATGGGGGTTTCTCCATGTGGTCAGGCTGGTCTCGAACTCCCGTCCTCAGGTGATCCACCCACCTCGACCTCCTGAAGTGCTGGGATTACAGCCACCATGCCCGTCCAATGGTTTTTAACATATCCTTTGATTATGAATGTAGGTAGCAAGTAGATGTCCCTGTGATTTTGTCACTAGTAGAAATCACAGGTATTTACATAACACACTACAGTTACTGTAAACATCTCAAGATATCATCTAAGCTACCAGAACTGTGAAATTAAAGTCATATTAGATCCACCACTAAATCTTATTTAATGTATTAGTAAAGGAGAACATATATCACTATATGACAAATTGTTAATACTTCGATATCTATTTTAGTAAAATGATTTTTCGTTGTAATCCTAATGCCTTTGTAAAAAATTATTCTGAGAAGGGGTCCACAGGCGCCACCCAATGCCTGTGTGGTCCCATGGAAGACAAAGGGTTAAGAAGTCACACCTGGGGAGTGGCTCCCTGCAACCTCTTCCAGGAAGGATCTGTCCTGCCAACAAAGTTGCCCTGGAATTGGGGTGTGAAGCCCTCCTGGGAGGTGGAGGCAGCACTGCCCTGGGCCCTGGAGATATTCAGACTTTCCATGGTGACTTGTGGAGCACCTGCTTCAGCACAGATCCTGCATTAAATGCAGAGGAAGGAACTAAAGGGGTTCCAGGGGAGCTGATGGAGACAACCAAAAAAGACCATCTTGAGGAATGGGAGGGGGTGCGTGGATGGGGGAAAGGAGATGGTCAAGCAGAGCCCAGAAGATCTGAAGGAATTGAGGGAAGTGGTAGCTGGACCTGAGAGGGTTTTCAGCTGAGCCCTAGAAACACGATACGTACAAACAAAATGGCTAGAAAATAGTTCTGTGGCCACATAGGAACAAAGGCGAGATGCTGCGTGTCTTGACTTGGTGGGTAAAATGCGAGGTGAGGTTAACCTAACAGTCCTCCAGCTAGGGTGACCAATCACCCCAATTTTTCAGGGACTGAGAAGGTTTATCTTGATGCTAAAACCTGGAAAGTAAATCTGAATGAGCAAATCAGAACGAATGTGTCACCCTACTTCCAGCCCATATCAATCTGGAGGCATCTGAGGCCAGAAGTCTTGTAGCTCAGGATGCAGCCAGCCCAATGCTCTTGTTTTGGGGACCAGAAAACTGAGGACCACAGAGAGGTAAGGACTAACCCAGGTCACCCGAATAATTGGTAGCAAAGCCTGGTCTAGAATTCTGGTCCCATTCCCTTTCCAATGGTAGGTCCCCCCTGGTCCAGACAATGGATTCAGTGGTTTCCTCCCCTTAACCCTGGATGCTGGCAGGCTGGCTCCCTGATTCAAGATCCAAAGGGGGCTAAAGATGGGTCCTCAAAGCAGGGGGAGGGTTCCAACAGACAAAGGAACATCCCTGAGGGTCAGGCCAACCTCCTCTCACTAAACAAGGATAATTAGGTTTTGTTTTTTGGCAGGGTACCTCCCCCTGACCCTCAAAGTCACAGCGGTGTGTCTAACCTGCCCAGATTCTTTTTGGAGGCAAGAGGAGAGAGTGGGGAAAAGTGGGCTTTTAAAACAAGAGATTGGCTAAGGTTTGTATCTGTGCTCTAGCAAGTCACTTTACCTCTCTGAGGCTCTATTTCCTCATCAGGGAAATGGGCATAACTGCTCTCAATGAAAGGTTGCTGAATGAATGAATAAAAGAATTAAGAAATTAATGAACAAATGACTTTTATTCTTCCTGCCCCACTCCCCAGCCATTTCACCTGCTAACGACTCCTCATCCTTCAGGTCCCAGCCTCAAGCACGGAACCTTCTCTTCTCAGAAACTTCTCTTCTTGGAACCTTCTCTTCTCAGAACCTTTTCAAGTACCTGCCAGGTCTGGGTGGAAGGTGCTTCCTCCAGGCTCTGCCAGCACTGCCCACCCTGTGGCAGCCCCAAGTATACTCGCTTGTCATTGCTGGATTTCTCGTCTGCATCTCCACCCCTTCTAGCCCAGCCTTCTAACACTTGCTAACCCATATTCTCCATTAGAGCAGAAACACTTGATCAGATTCACCCTGGAACCCACATCCTGGCATGGAACCTGGCACATAATAGGTGCTCAATGAAGATGAGTTCAGGTGAACAAATGAATGAACTGTTAGTTACTGGAGAAATTCCTGTAAAGTGGATCATGGCTGCTTAGGAAATGTTATATTTGCAGAATGTAATTGCATTTCTTTATTTTACAACTTTATTGAGGAATATTTTACATATTATATAATTCACCCATGTCAATTGTTTTTAGTAAATTTACCAAGCTGTGCAAACAACACTATAAACCAGTTTTAGAATATTTCATCATCCCCACTCCTACCCCCTGCCCCAGACAACCCCTAATCTAGGATCTGTCTCTATAGAGTTGCCTTTTCTACATATGTCAGATAAATGACATTCTACAAGATGTGATCTCTTGTGTCTAGCCACTTTCATTGAGCACCATGTCTTTGAGGTTCATCCATGTGGTAGCATGTATCAATAGTTTGTTCCTCTTTATTAATGATCTCTTTTTAAATTTCAATAGTTTTAAATTTTCCTTTTCTGTACTCTGTTCTTCATCTGGAAATAAGACTATAGGACTATCTGACCTGGGGCCAGGTGCAGT